AGCCCGGACGAAGCATCTATGACCACATATTTTCCCTGCGCCACATTGCTGAGAAATCGTGAGAGTTCGCCCGTCCAGTATACATGCGTTTTGTTGAGCTACAAAAAACCTATGACCGAATCCCGCGCAAGAGTCTGTGATCATGCCTTCGAGCATATGGGATAAATGGCCAGCTGCTAAGGAACATCCAGTTACTAGATTCTGATAGGAGGTGCTGCGGCAGAGTAAATGTCGTTAAGTCGAAACCATTCAACGTTCGCACTGGTCTCCGCCAAGGTTGCGTGCTGTCCCCTATCCTGTTTGTGTTGTGCATGGATAGAATAGCCAGGAGCTCCCAAGACGATGAGGGTATCGGTGTAGGAGATGTGAAGTCGAAAACGTTGCTGTTTGCAGGCGACCTTGTTTTATTGGCATCTTCTGAAACTGATCCGTAGTGCTCCCTAGAAAGGTTCGCAGCCGAGTGCGACGTGTTTGGCATGCGCGTGAACGCATCTAAAACGAAATGCCTAGCGCTTTCTCGTTTTCGTGCCCGTTGCTCAATTCTAATTAACGGGGAGGCAGTGGAGCAGGTGGAGAAATTCAAGTACCTAACAGTCGTATTTACTAGTGATGGAAAATTAGAGAAGAGATATACCGGCGTATTGAAGAAGTCAGTGGCGTTCTGTGTATTTGCCCGAAACACTGTAACTGAATCAGAGTTGAGTCTGAAAACTAAGCTCTTGGTGTTCAAGTCGATCTTCATCCGCATGCTTACCTACGGTGATGAGCCGTGGACAATGTCAGAAAAGTCTCGAAACCGGGTACACGCAGCTGAAATGGGCTTTCTAAGAGTCGCTGGCCTTAACGCCTCTCGACGTGGTCCGGAATACTGACATACGGGAGAGCCTTGATGCACAGTCTCTGGTTCTCCAGATTGAGAACTCAGCTGCGATGGTTTGGGCATGCGTCGCGAATGCCTCTAGAAATGAAGGCTTATCACATCGGAGCCGACGAATGGCCCGCCATAATACCTTGTTCACCATGTGGAAATTCGACTCCAACGCCTAATCGAACTTCTCCCAGGAGTCAGGATTGGCTTTCGCCACTGCTTTCGCAGCCGCCTTGCGTGCTTCGACATATCGCACGCGAGTAGGAAACTCTGTTTGTACCTCTCGTGTCCAGCACAAAGTTCTGTTCTGACTTGCAGGCGACAGGCAAACGCGAATAAATCCGCAGCGTTCGGCGACAGGCTCGAGTATGCCGCTATTAAGTAACTGTCACTCGGCTTCCACATCTGTGGTCATCATCGGTAGGTGTTCAAAACGTCGTGCGATGCTGTTTGCAAATTTCGCTCTCGTGTCCACCGAAGATATTGTTTCCAATTTGATTCTCTGGTTGCTTCTGACACCAGATGTTCGTATGGTTCTCCATTTCTTACAGCGCAAACAGCAGGGTGGTGATCGGTTAAGAGCGCAGTTGCTCTCTTAATGCGAACATCAATTACTGAGAGTCTTAATTCAGACGATACGATTATCAAATCGATCATCTACTTCCGTGCATAAGTTTTCACCTACCAGGTATACTGATGCACTCTTCGACGCTCGGTGTTCGTAATGGACAATCGTTGTTTGCACAAAACCGCAACAACTTCATGCCGTTATTGTTGACGTCGCTAGGGGTGCTTTTTTCAATCACGCCGTTCCACTTTACAGCGTCTACTGTCACGTGCGCATTAAAATCGTTCCATGAGTATAGGGGACTCTGTATTAGGCACTTCCTACAGAGCTCACTGGTCTTCCTCCTGGAAAGTATCATATTCTCCCTCCAAACTGGGCGCATAGGCCTGTACCAAGGTCAAAGCTACAGTCTGTTGTAGCTTTAAACGGAGGATTAGCACCCTTCCGCTGACAAGTTTCCAATCGATGATTCTATCTGTGCGGTTTGGTTCTACCAGGAAGCAAACACTGGTCTGAGTGTTGTGATATCGACTCGAGTAAATTAGATTCAGGATTTCAGAGCCTTGGCGCTTCGCTGACGAGAGTCCAACAATGTCGAGTTGGCACTTTATGACCTCATTGACTAACTCTTGTTCTTTACCTCTGAATGAGGATATGTTCTAATTTCCGACTTAAAGCTCCCACTTGTCGTTCTCATGAAGCCTTTCCTGACGTCCTATAATGGCATCGCACTGTCTGCCTCCTCCGTTGACAACGGGTAGCCACTACGTTGGTGACCGGTATCTTCGTCGTCGTTCCTTCGGTCTTCGTCAGATGTGGTTGTGCAACTACGCCTCCGGCTGGCAGAGGGCAATGAGCAGGTTCTGATCGCCGACGAACAACAGTCCCCCAACAGCCTGCATGGGCCTGTAACCCGGGCGACGACCGAGCCGGTATGATTTTCGATGGCGTCAATACGATGAGTGGCAGGTGGCTAAATTTTACGGAGACTTGCCACGATCTCCAACCCTTTTCCTTTCTCAACTAGGCTTGGGACCGGCAAAGGCAGAGTTGCGAGGTATGTAATGTGCAACAGAAGTGTCTGTGCATAACCTTGCATGATGCAACCATACAGAATTTCAATGTCTGGCTGAAGGTTGTCTACGTGTCATGAGACAGGAATGAAAATACCAGGTTCGAATGTGGAATCACTAACATACGTACATAACCCTCCATTACTACGTAAAATTGGTTTGCTTCGCAGGCTTTTTCGCTGAATACTTTTCGATGTACTGCGAAAGTCGTATTATATATTAGAGGCTCGCAATCGAAAGAACACAGGGTTGAATGCATCCGTAGTAAATAAACGAGTGGTACTATGAGGGAGGAGTGCGGTGAAAAACTAAGTTTAAATTTCCTTTTGAAGATATAGCAATCTGGTTAACTCAATAAGAAATTAGTGCCGTATCAAAAAGTGCATAAAAGTGGTGCCACAAGAGAAGTTCACCGAAAAACGAAATCTCAGTGGTTACAAACTTTCATTTCTCCCTAACTCATTTTGGCCATGAAGAGTAACGCTGATTCGATTTCCTGCCGCGGCTAGTCATTTATGTGAAATAGAGGTATCGCCTTTCTTGTGCGGATTAAATTCACAGAGCAGCAACTCAGCTTTCATAACAAAGAACTAGTATCTGGAAAAACTTAACATATACAAGAACTTTAAAACCACCAAGTACTATAAACTCTGACAGTTTGGCTGTCAAGGCATGCCAGCCATAGATGGTTATCAGAAAAAGCAACCGTCTTTCAAAGGATACAGTCATTGTGAAGACATGTGACAAATTTTTAATACACGTACGAGGGTGAATAAGGTATATCAGTATTCATGTCTCAGTTATTCTGCACTGCCCGGTAATATCACTGGTTTCAATTCCTGAATGAACAAGTGCACTATGCTGCTTAGTGCTACAGCCTGTATTTTCTGTTAGTGTGCAAGTTGTTTCATCAAGTTAACGCACGAGTTGCTCTTCCACCTGTGTCAGCATAATGGCTAATAAGAGTGGCAGGGAATAGAAAAGAGGTTCAAATTATAGCAGTCCTTCGGTAAACTGAACAAAACAAAGCAGACTCCTCACCTTGATTCCACAGTACTTAGCCAGCACATGTACCAAAGACGTTTTTCCGCACCCAGCTTCGCCGTACACAATAGCGACATTAGGAATTTTGGCGCCGGTGTCGATTTCTATCCAGTCTTCATCGTCCTCGTACTTGCCTAAACAGCGATGGCGTTCAAGAAGAATCGCCAAACATGGTCAAAACTTTTCACATACTGATTCCCTTCCTTTTCTTAACCTCAGTTTCAACCACGTCATCATACGTCTTCCGATCTAGCTTGTTACGCCAGTACTCGAGCCACCGCTGAAATTCAAGGGCAGTGTTGCGGTTGAAAGCAAATTCGTCAGCCGATTTTGGGCAGAACACATTGTCCCAAGACAAAAGACTATGCTGCAGCTTGTCTAAAATCAAATAACATTTTCCATTAATTTTACACGAATGTTCGCCATGTTACATGATACAAACGGTGAAATAAAATGCAGTACGAGAATGACAACTTTATGCAGGGATCAAGGAGTGAAGCGATTAACTGTGCTGACAAAGCTTAAAGTAAACAATATTCTAGACAATTCATACAGATCGGAGCCGATATTGAAATAAGAAGTTTCTCAGGACAGAAGGTCTTCCAACGCAATGGCTAAAGACGCAGTGTGACATCGCAGTACCGTGCATAAGAAGTTGGTTTTGAACACCGGAGATGCCGGGTTCCAGTCTGGCAGAGGAACTGTCCTTGCCTTAATCAAAAATTACCTTGAGCAAGGAATTTACCACATGTTGCTTCAGATCTGGGTTACTCGGTCGATAGAGCGTCGAAATTAGAACCCAGAAGTCCCAGGTTCGCGCTCGCCTTTCTTCCTTCAGGAGTTGACAGATGAGCACCACTCTGCGGGAAAAAAACAGGAGACTCCACACTCTGCTACTACATACCTGCTGACGATTCTGCCTTTAAAGTATAGCAAATATAGCTGAGGGCACGGAAACAGAAATCAACACTTCATCAACTTAATGAAACGAAGGGTGAGAGAAGGGGCCCAGCGGTAAAACTGTAAGCTCAACGTTCCAACGGTTGCAAACTGTTCTCTTCTTCCTTTGCAAAGGCACAAAGATGAGACGACCAAGTTTTCTTCTAGGAAAGACTTTTCAGGCCACATCAGAGTATTCATCATCAGGGCAGGATATGGACAGAAACAAAGCGTTTTGGCAAAGAATTCAGTGTAAAGCACTGATTTTTAATTGTATACGTCCAACTTAAAACGAATCAAGATAGATCTGATTCATAACGTATAAAACTCAATGCCCTCTTTGTTACGCAATGTGTTTTGTTACGGGTTATTACCACGCCTGAATGCGTACACGGTAGTCAGAAGTCCATCCCAAACGCAGACGAAAGAAGAGGTAGAAGCAAGAATCCTCTCTCGCCCATGCAGTCACCTGTGAGCTCGAGTCAGACTAAGGCAGTGATCCGAAAACAATCATCCTGCAAGGTGGTACTAGGAACTTCAGTTGAAAGGCAAATCTGGAGAAGATTCTCTGTACTGACACGTACAACTGCTGTACAGAAAATGAGGACGGGACCTACCAAGTAACCCACAAGATATCTGCAATAAAGCGTGATATCCTGAGACTACGTGAGACGAGAAGGAAACAGATAGTGAACATAAAATCTCAAAACGTGAAAACGAAAAATTAAACATGACGCTAAGAGACGTCGATAGTTCAATATGTAGAGGTAATTTTACCATCTTCGCATTCGTAGAAGAGACCGTACTTGTTGCATGCTGTGAACTCATCTCGAGCTTTCGTTAAATGTAAAGAAAAGCTTCGATCCTGGGTGCAAGTGGATGAAATGGCATTCCTTAGCAAAACCGTTGAGCCCACGCCTATCGATATGGCCCGGAGTACAGTAATCTGACTAAACAAAACGTTTGTGTACAGCCGCTGCTTCTCCATAATGAGAAGTCACCGCTACGATAATTTGGACATTGCTGATGAATGCTTTCAGAATGAACGACAAAGCAGCAACTATTTACTCAACCAAAGAATTAAGACCATCAGAAGGCAAAACAAGACCTTGACCAAATGTTTCGACAAATTTTGCTCTAGACTCGCATTATCTTCTGCCGAAGCTCGCATGACGAGGCAGGACAGAGATCGCTGGAGAGACACTGTTTTGACTTTGCTGGCTCCGCGATCCGAATGGATTACCGAAACGGTTATCAAAACTGCCTAACAGGCAAAAAAACTTCTGCATAAAAATTTTACAAGCTTATGCCCAAATGGTGACTTCAAAATATGAGAAAATTGAAGAATTTTATGAGCAACTAAAAATACAATAAATAACAGTACAGACAAAGCTCACTATTAGCTGTTTCAACACTATCATCAGGATAGTCTAGGAAAAAATCTATAATTGCTTGTTCTTCTTCTCCATAAAGTAGCGGGCTGGTCATCCACGCATGGTACAAAATCACGAAACTTCATTTACCGAACAGTTTGTTAGGCAGTCTGACGTGTAAAATCGTTGAGAATTTTGCTATGAATTTAACAGTAGCTGTGCATTCCCATAACTCATATGAACGACTACTGCACCCATTTTTATGTCATGTTTGCCATCTTCATCTCCCATCGCCGCTTCTCCTTTCGTGTCGCGGAGGCAGACACGTCAGAGGGAGCCTCCAACGTTCCCGATGTTGTGTCAGAATTGTCAGAATCTGAGCTTCGGCAAAAGACAAATGGAGTCTGGAACAGACTCCTTCCATATGTTTGCACCAGGTT